TGCATATATATAAATATATATCTGTTTTCAAATTTGAGATTCGCTTCCTTGGATCTAATTGTACAGAAAAATAGTTTTGCTTCTATATGGGATTAAATACAGGAACAACTAATTGTGTAATAATTTAAATGTGTCATGTCACAAAATTCAATTATTTTCTCTATAGAAAAGCTGATTGCATAATTGAAAAAACCTTTTCTTCTCTACAAACATGTTAAAATAATTAAAATACTTCATAAAAATGGATTGAGTTTACAATTTTTCATTTCAAGCAGGCAAGTTTAAAGAATGGTACATGAACTTTTCTCTCGAAAGGGATTAGACTTTTGAGATGAAAAACCCAACAGCAAACAATCTTCTTGCTCATGTTCGGTAATATACTTCATTATGTCTTCCACAGCTTTGCTCACTGTGATCCGTTTCAGAGCAGCTTCACGACGGAACTGCTCTGTAATTTGACGTTGTTGTTGTAGATTTGTGATCACCATATCCATAACAATTGCAGGCAATAAGAATTCCTACCAGATACCTGTAAAGTACGAGAGATTTACTTTATATTTCCTTGAATTATAAATAGTTATATATTTAGTTGAGTTATCAAAACTTGTCTGACAGGTTTTGTAATACCAACATTTGTTATTATTTATATAAGATATTATTATTACAATATATTATCAATATGCATGCGATCATATAAATTTCTTATTTGACTTTTATAATATTCAAGCACTATTTACCAGGTTAGTGATCGTAAATTAAGTAGTACGTAATTGTTATTGATTGCTATTTTTCTCGATATTTCTTACTGTTTATCAAAGTTTACAATGAGAGCCTATCCCTTAAAGCTGATTCTCATGGCAAAATATATTGTATGTATATGTGTAGACAGTGTATGCCAGCGAGAGTGAATATAGATGCATGAATCTCCGACCGCAGCTCGCTCTTTTAACGGAATAATAGGAGTAGAAATCGCTTTGCTCTGATTGGTTGACAATTCAATGCTAAGACAGGATTCACTGTGAATCGGATGCCCAGTAAAATAGTGGGGATACACGCGCTTGCTTAGAGGAGAAAAAAATGTGAAGAAGTTGATGTATCATTACAGTGGTAATCAACATTGTTACGTTGTACAGAAAGAGACATATGTGCTTATACAAAAACTCAAAGTTTTATATTCTATGGTCTACGATTTGTACATCTTGCATCTGCAGTCTTCTTTGCGCAACCATAAATGGTACGGTGCGCATGCGCGCCGAAAATGAATGTTGAAGTTGAAAGGCCGAGGTTTCGTTTCTGTCATCTGCAGAGGTGCTCTGTTGCTCTGTGATCATCTATGGTCTTTGAGTCTGTGGAGTACATGCATACTGTATATCAATTCTGAATCGCACGTGAGATCTTTCAATTTCAAGAAAAAAAATGGCTTTACATGTACCGAAGGCACCAGGCATAGCCCAAATGCTTAAAGAAGGAGCACGCGTAAGTTGTGAAAATCATTAGTAATATTTTATAATAGATAATTCGTATAACTTCGTTGCATGTTGTCAGGCCACGACGAAGTAATGTTTTTCCTTCGAAATAGAATAAACGTGACCTTTTATAGGCATAATACGTACATATTATAGCATTCATGTTACGTTAAAAAGATATCGTACTACTAGATAAAGTAAACTTTTTTAGTTATTCATGTTTTCTGTTTTATTTGTTAATTCAGTTGTCTGTTACCGGTTTATAGTTTATAAAATGTCAAGGTATATATATATATATATATATATATATATATATAGAGAGAGAGAGAGAGAGAGAGAGAGAACAGATTAATATATTTTTTGTTTTTGTATTAGTATTTTTCAGGACTAGAAGAAGCTGTATATAGAAATATACAAGCTTGCCAGCTTTTTGCACAAACTGTAAGAACTGCGTATGGACCAAATGGCATGAATAAAATGGTCATTGATCATATAGAGAAATTATTTGTTACTAATGATGCAGCAACAATCATTAGTGCATTGGAGGTTGAACATCCAGCAGCTAAATTATTAGTTTTGGCATCGAAGATGCAAGAAGCAGAAGTTGGCGATGGTACAAATTTTGTTATAATCTTTGCTGGAGCACTTCTTGAAGCTGCAGAAGAATTACTTCGTTTGGTGAGATGCTTTGGTACTTATATTACGATGACTAATGTAATTATAAAATAATGTTACAACATAATTTGTTTTACAATAGGGCATCAATATATCTGAAATAGTCGAAGGGTACGAAGCATCATTGAAGAAAGCATTGGACATATTACCAACATTGGTTTGCCATGAAATACAAGATTATAGAGACAAGGAGAAAGTGAAAGTTGGAATCAAGACAGCTATTATGAGCAAACAATATGGAAACGAAGATGCGCTCGCTTCGCTTGTTACAAAAGCATGTGTATCTATCTTACCAGAAAAAACTACTTTTAACGTAGATAATGTTCGCGTCTGTAAAATACTTGGTAGTGGTCTATCTAGTTCCGAAGTTGTTCAGGGAATGATATTCAAACGACAAGTAGAAGGAAACGTTATGAAAAAAGATAATGCTAAAATTGCTGTTTATACCTGTGCTGTGGATGTTATGCAAACTGAAACAAAAGGAACCGTATTGATAAAATCGGCAGACGAATTGATGAAATTTTCTCGAGGAGAGGAATCTCTGCTAGAAAGTCAAATAAAAGCAATCGTCGACAGTGGAGCTACAGTGATAGTGTCTGGAGGAAAATTTGGTGACATGGCTTTACACTATATGGAAGTATATAACTTAATGGCTGTCCGTATACCTAGCAAATTTGATCTTAGAAGATTATGTAAAAGTGTTGGGTCCACCGCACTTCCAAAATTGGTAAATATAATTTCGTTCTGTATATTTCTTTGTTTTACATGCAAACAATTCTTCTATCAATTGTCTTTGTGTTAAGGTTCCACCGTCGAAACAAGAGTTAGGATTCGCTGATTCCGTTTGCATCGATGAAATAGGAGATACCATTGTAGTAAAATTTATGATAAATGGCAAGGAGAGTCGTATTAGTACCGTGATCATTCGCGGATCTACCGACAACTACATGGATGATATCGAGAGAGCGATTGATGATGGAGTAAATACATTTAAGGGAATAACGAGGGATGGAAGATTCCTTCCTGGTGCAGGAGCTACCGAGATTGAACTAGCATCGCAACTTGTCACCTACGCGGATACTTTACCTGGTTTAGAACAATACGCAGCACGTAGATTTGCAACTGCTTTAGAAGTATTCCCGAAAACCTTAGCAGAGAACAGCGGTAGTCATGCTTCTGAATTGTTGTCGAAACTTTACGCAGCGCATAAAGAGGGCAAGAAAAATTATGGTTTCGATATTAACGTACGTGTTTTTGATCATCTCGTTTCAATATACTTCATTTTGCAGCAATACACGTCTCCGTTAATAAATGTATATTTATTTTTAGGAAAAGGGTACAGAACTTATCGATGCTGCGGAAGCTGAAATTTTAGACCTATTCTTAATGAAACAATGGGGTTTGAAATACGCCGTTGATGTTGCATGTACTGTTCTCAAAGTAGATCAGATTATAATGGCAAAACGTGCTGGAGGTCCCAAAGTACCGGGTGGCGGTATTCGCGACGACGACGAGTGATAATATATATAAAAATTCAATTCTTAACCCTTCTGTTTAAACGTATAACGTTGCATTTCCATTGGCTTTGAGTACGTTTTGCTTAAATGTTATGCGAGAAAAATATTTGTAAAAACGTTCAATATAGAGTATACTACTCTACGTAATATTATATGCTTTATATATTTTTCAATGAAAACACATACCAATTCATAAATTAAATTGAAATAGACATTTTATACTTTAACAAATATATAAATACATTCACACAATTCCGATATATTTAATAAAATCTACTAATTATATAATACTAATTTTCTTTTAATTTCCTTGTATGAAATGAACGTTCTTAATAAGAGATGAGTCCACATTGAATATGTATTTAAGGATATTTTACATATTTAACTACGTTATAGCATGTTTGAAATTGAGGTTAAGGACGGATGGTTATACATTTTTGATACTACTAGGTGTACATACCAGAATAATCAACTGCGTTTCGAA